TTCGTGTTCGGCTCGTTAGGCTTAACGAACGAGCCGAACACGAGCTGCTTAACGAGCCGAACATGGGCTGTTCACGAACAACGAGCCAAATTGACAGCCCTAGCCAGAAGCATGATGATCTTAATGAATGTCCTAAATCATTTGTGGGAGCAAGCTGTTTTAATAGACGCTCAATTGATCAATAAAATGGAGTAGCAGATAAGAAGAATATACACTTTCTAAAAGTCACATCCATACTCACAAACAGTCTCTTCTCTATTGGGCTCCAACAAGCATACCCCTTCTGGCGGAATAACCCACAAAAATAAACTTCAAAGCTTTGGGATCCAACTTTTATATTGATGGTCTATTATCCTTCACAAAATATATATAACCGAATGCCTTCAATGGAAAGATCCCAACATTGTCTCTTTTCAACAATTCACAAGATCACCCTCAAGCGTGTTGGAGTGGCGATCTTCTTGTGAATTGTTAAAAGGAGATAATGGTTGGATCCTTCCATTGAAGGCATTCAATTTTGTATGTTTTGTGAAGATAATAGACAATTAATAAGGCTGGATCGCAAAGCTGTGAAGTGTATTTTTTGGGTTATTCTGCAACTCAAAAGAGAGTTTGTTGGAGTCCAATAAATAAGAGATTGTTTGTGAATATAAATGTGACTTTTAGAGAGTTCAAACCATACTACACCTCGAAGGTGACCTCACCCTTTGGTGACTCATCAGATGATGGAGGAATGAGGCGAGAGGGGGAGAGTGGTGATGATGAAAGATTGGTACAGGTGGGAACAATACCTTGTCCTTGACCCATTGTACGGGAAGGATTGAAAGCGGAAGAGCTGTAAAATAAGACAAATGAGTCTGAAGGTGGTGGGACTCAAGTTTAAGGAGAGCTGAGGGTGTCTATAAGGAGAAAAAGGCAGAATGAGGGAACAGAGTCCCTATCCCGGTCTACCCCAACTCCTGAGACACCTACACCATCCACCTCAGAATCCGATTACATAGGCAATATAAATCTTCACTATTATCCTCCCACTCCCATAAATTTAAGGAGGACCTCTCGCAGCAATGCAAGTCATTCTCCTAACCGTTATTCTCTTATCATTATGGATTCTCACATGACATTATTCAGTTTCCCTCATACTTTAACATATCACCTTGTTGACCTTATTTTTAGTGAGGTCTAGACTTCCTGTTAGGGTTTAGGATCTAGCCTTAGGGACCTCCCTTGACTATCTTAGAACCTTAGAAATGGGACCCGCCTTGTTCTAGAAATTCACCCCGCTTCTGTCCTCTTTTGTGGTTCCAAGTGTGTGGTATCGACTTCTAGCATTTAGAAGAGTAGAACCAACATGAGGAAACCCAAAAGGGATCCCTATAGGACTTTTTGAGCCTTAGGGTAGCCTTCTGCACAATACGCACTCCCGCGCGCACAAACTTCGCAATTCGGAGAGTCGACACGTCCGATCGCCATATTTCACATCGCTTGCACCGTTACCTATTGAAGACTCGAGTAAACTTGTCGAGGCGATCGACCACGGGTTGAAGTTTTGTGAAGTTTAAATTTTGACGTATCTCTAGCCCGATTGTCGACGACGCCGTCCGAGCGACTCCGGATAACAAAACGGACTGTGCCAGCGCGTCCAGAACGT